TATATATATATATATATATATATATATATATATATATATATATATATATATATATATATATATATATATATATATATATATATATATATATATATGTCAAGCTACACCAAAGGACGCTTAGATATCATGATATCAGGTAATATCATGATATCTAAGAGTCCTTTGGTGCATGATTACACGATGTCATGGATTGCCTCAGTAGGCTCTTACGGTCATAGGCTTGGTTACTCCGAGCAATCAATTTGCCTTCGCTAGTCCACCCTCACTACCAAGTCCACACGTACCATCTCTTCTTCATGACCCTACCTCGTGTATATATTGTCACAACCCCAATGGATGAGAATTCAATCCACGAGTTGCATGTACGCCGACACCACATGCAACTTATGGAATCAAGCTTTGTTGCGCACAAGTTTGGTGCACCTGCACGGGTCCGTGTTGGCAGCAATGATGGAAGTCTTCGGCCAGACGCAGGTAGCCCTGGTTATCTCCTTGCCAACACTGACAGCTCCCTCAATCACCAAAGGGTGAAAAGGAGGATTCCTTAGTTGAGACCATCATCTATTTTTAGTTTAGCGATAGTGTCCATACATCCCCTTAGAGTTAGATTCTTTTTCTATATATCTTATTTAATAATACTATACCGGTAGACTGATTCACCTCAGGGACGAGTCCGACACGGAGGACAGAATGAAATTATAGAGAAAGTGAGAGCACTAATAGAGATAAATAAAAAGGGATAAAAAAAAAACAAAGCGTAGGTTTTTCATATAAATTTGCCCAAAATTCTTACATGTCTACATGTAAACAAGTTAAACCTTCAATGCATTTGTCGATGTCCGTAATGAGTATTCACGAAAATTTTGAAGAGTGTATCTGTAATTCACCGCCGAGGGAAAAAAGAATATAAGTCAAATCATGTCTTCTTTAAGGACCCTTCGAGAAAAGAACGATAGATGAAAGAAGAAGAAAACAATGAACTAATGAAGATTTATGTATATGTCATCATTAAAAATATATCTGCGTGAAATACTCGTTCGCTAATTTAAGAACGTCCAACATAATTACATGATAAAATTTAAAAAAAATTTATAAAATTTAAAAAAAGGTAATTAGTGAAATTAAGATAGAAATAGGTTAAGCGTTGCTAGTCATCCGGTCAATTATTGTACCTCTTAGATAAGGTGCATCTCGATTATCGCATGAATTTTCTCCATTTATTCGTCTGTGGTGAATGATAAATCCAAGAAATTTTCTCGAACCAAGACATACTTGGATGGGTTGAGGTACACGTCGAATTTTTTCAAGACCTAAAACATCTTGATCAGGTCATCAAGTCTGTGTTAGTCATTCTATTTTTTATTATCATATCGTCTATATACACCTCTACATTCCTTCCAATCTGATGCTTAAATATATTTTAACCCGAAAGGCATGACTTTGTAACAGTAGACGCCTTAGTTGATAACGAAGAAAGTGTATTTCTAATCCTAAAATATCATTATGATCTGGCTATAACATAAAAATGCATCTATAAGGGTAAGAAATCATTTTTGATAAGTCAATATTTTATCGATACTGGTGTGAGGAATTATTCACTTTGGGTGAGCCAGTATGATTTTGCCTCTTTGGGGTAAGCCCCAAAAGGCGCCTCTAAGGGTAAGAGTAATGCTAGAGGCTTATAAGTCCTTAGATTCTCATACTCCTTAATCAATACGAGATTAAATATCCTTATCAATTCCCCTCGGTAGGGGACCCGATAGCTCATGGCTCTCCTTCTAACATTAAAATATTAAGAAAAAATATCGTTAATAGTTGAATCAACCCGATTTAGTTTAACCCAAAGGTATAAGGACATCCGAGGAACTCACGTAGCAGTCTTGATGCGATTGAGGTGGCTCCGAGGTGGTCTTGAGGTCGACCCGAGGTGGAATCTAACTTCTAAGTAGGTTACTACATAAAGACCAATATCGAGAGGTGTTTCCCAACCTGACCCATCTAACGCTCAAGTTAGTTAAGAGGTTTTTAAAAGAAAAAAAAAAAGCTAAACCCCTATGCCTACGTCGAGGGTTGACTTTTATATCTGACTGACTAGAGAGATTCTTTGTAATGATCTTAACATCTTCCTCTTAGTATTTTTTTTACAAAAATGATAAGTACAAACAATCTCCCTTGAATTATTATCCATAGAGATCGACAAAGTACGGTGACTCGAATGATTTTCCGTAGATTATTATCCATGGAGATCGATAAGACCAATCTGAATGACCTCCTATGGACCCGTATCTCAAGGGGACGATAGACCACAGTCACCCTTATGTTGTTGCTTGGTGGAGGGTGATTTGATCCTTTTCCACTTGGTGCATGTTCCACATATGAAATCACTCTCACTCTCACTCTCACTCTCACATTATTGCAGCTCGGAAGGAGTTAGGGCACGTCAACACCACAGGCCACGTCAACACCACAGGCCATGCAAAGAGACAGCCAAAGGATTGTAGTAGATCGATGGAAGGTCGATCGCTTGACGCAGCACTGCGGAAAGTTGGGTCGGCAATCTTTGTCTCGCTGGCCTTCTACCACCTACCGCTATGGACGTCCCACATGTGATCTGCGTGTTGTCCCAAGACAATCTGATCAAACAAAGAATATATTCTCATAATCTAAAGAAACAGATTTAAAATAATAGGTGTTCCATCTTCTCTTCTTTTGCATTATTGGGACCATATAGTAGCAGGATTGTAGCAACACCAGTGGATTGCGTATATTAATTCTCGTGCTCTTCATGCAGCAACTGTGGATGTCAAATGTTTGATCATCTTTTCGACGATAATTTGTACATCAAACTTCACAAAATTGCATTGGAATTACGATGCTGATTGTAGCATCATCGTTGAAGGTAAATACTGTCTCGTTGTTGGGATCAAATTCAGCTTCGGCATGGCCATGTTTCTAGCCACATCTGCACAAAACAATCGTACGTACCACTTGCTGCATCCTTGTTGTTATTGTTATTATTGCTGTTGATGTTTTTATTGTTGTTGTTGTTATTATAATATGTCAGACTCATGGATCTATCAACTCTCCCCATCTGGTCTTTATTATTATCGTTGTTGTTGCCGACTCTCCCCATTTGATCTTTATTATTATTATTGTTGTTACTATTGTTTTTATTGTAGTTACTATAATATGTCAATGCATGGATCTATCAACTCTCCCCATTTTATCTTTATTATTGTTGTTGTTGTTACTATTGTTTTTATTGTAGTTATTATAACATGTCAATGCATGGATCTATCAACTCTCCCCATTTGATCTTTATTATGATTGTTGTTGTTACTATTGTTTTTATTGTAGTTATTATAACATGTCGATGCATGGATCTACCAACTCTCCCCATTTGATCTTTATTATTGTTGTTGTCGTTACTGTTGTTATCATTGTATTATGTTGACGCATGGATCTATCAACTCTCCCCATTTGGTCCTTGAAGGTCTCTAGCCAGCTAATTTTGCCGGTCTCTTCCATCATGAGACCCATTTCTAAGTAAACAAAGTTAATCCCTTTTTATTTCCTTCTCTTTCAGCACTTCATTACCATTTGAAATTTCACTTCAGATTAAGCTCTGATTCACGTTACAGTGATTTTTGT